TGGAGTCTAGTCGCGGTGGGGGAATTGGGGTCGAATCGAGAACGCCATCACGAGTGAGGCCACAAAAAAAATTACAAAAATGTCACGGTTCGCGTGAGACTCGGCCAAAGGCCCAGTTTTCCGCATCCGCAGGAACGCCACCACCCTCTTGGATCAAGGCGCAGATGCAGCTCCTAAACGGTAGGAGGTGAGTAGATCAGACCCACCACAAAGTGGTCAAAGACCGAAATCCCATTCACTGCATCCATGTTTCCCTCGTGCCAGGCCACGAGTTCCCAATTAACTGTGGGTCGCAGCACGGCTGGAAAAAATCCTTCCGCTTCCAAGCAGGACTTGAACCTGGTACCCTCTGTTTCTCAATCATGGTCTGCAGGCAGGCATAGTGAGGCCATAGGCTATTACAAAATAATTGTAGGTAGTATTAGCCCGGACTTGATTGGCATGAATTGTGCAATGGAAAGCTGGAAATGTGCAAATGACCTGGACTGAATATCTCGGAAATCATCGGCTAGCGAATTCCAAACTTTAGGTACATGTAATTATACAGAGTTTGAAAGAAACACTAGTCATACTTTCACGAGGTGTGACACCAAACAACTACGGCCCTCAGCCTCAGACTAACCTGCCGGGTAGTAAAAAAAGGTACTAACACGCCTTAGGCCCTCCCGGCCATGCACTAACCTACATTGCAAAGAAAAGGGCCAAGGAACGATATTGTACAAGTTACGCTATCCTGAAGAGTGAAGTGAACACTAACACCACCGCCAGTTACTTGACAATCAGCTCATGCGATAACATTGCACGACACTGACCGACTATGCTGACGTTCTACAACTAACTGCCTATCATAATAATATCAGCTCTAGCTCGTCTTGTGGGTGCGCACTCCAACAGCCTTCCAACTTGGAAGGTTCTAACCGAATGATAGGAGGGGAAGGTACGCTTGAGTGTACACCCGTATTACTTTATCGCGGTGACAATCAGCCGAAAGCCAAGAAGTGATAGGATTGAAAACGTCCTGGGGCTTACAGTCACTCGCCACAGCTACCATGGTGTGTTTGTGTGGTGTGTGTGTGTGTGTGTGTGTGTGTGTGTGTGTGTGTGTGTGTGTGTGTGCGCATGTGATTGTGTGTTACATACATGTACCTGTTGACCGATGGAGTACTTCTGGCTAGAGTATTTCTTGTGTAATTAACGGTTCCAGTGAAGCCTTTATCAGATCCACTCTCAGATCTTATCAGATCCACTCTGAGCCACCCACCGACCAGTATACTAGTAGCAAGTACCTTCACTGGGCACGGGGGCAGGGGTGAACGCAGTTGGATCCCGGGACGGATACCTTGATGTCGTCAATCCTTTCTTTGCACCTTTTCCTCGCCCACTTACTGAGGTGTGGTGAGCCCTACGTGGGTCTCTAAGTCAAAGTCCACCCAGAATTTGGGAATTTCAGGGGGTGGGAGTCATCTTTCCAACATTCCTTTGGAGTCTCTCTCCCCTCTTCGGGGGAGACTCGCGTGACCAGTCATGGCAGTGAGCTGTGTGTGTGTGTGTGTGTGTGTGTGTGTGTGTGTGTGTGTGTGTATGTGTGTGTGTGTGGTGGTGGTGTGTGTGTGTGTGTGTGTGTGTGTGTGTGTGTGTGGTGTGTGTGTGTGTGTGTGTGTGTGTGTGTCCAGCTCGATTACGACAGTACCAGTGCCGGCGAGAACTCAGCTTTCCCTACCTTGCTGCCAGGCTCATTGCAGCGCATGTGGCAGGTGCTGCCGATCGAAGCGGGGTTTCTACTCCACAGCTGTGCAAAGGCAAACAGAACTCTCGCTGGCCGCTAGGCGCTAGCCTGCTGAGCGTGCTGCGCGTACTGTACTCAATCTACCTACCCGGTACACATCATGTCCCATGTCTAGTCTGTCGGCCCCTCGTATGAGGGGACATGTGAACGTCTTACGAGTTACGGCAATGTTCAGGACAGGACAGGTGTGTGTGTGTGTGTGTGTGTGCATGGTATGTGTGTGTGTGTGTGTGTGTGAATGTGTGCATGGTATGTCACCGTAGTATGTGTGTGTGTGTGTGTGTGCGTGTGTGTGTGTGCATGGTGTGTGTGTGTGTGTGTGTGTGCGTGTGTGTGTGTGTGTGTGTGTGTGCGCGCGCGCGCGCGCGTGTGTTGTATGGACCGCTGTATGGAATACATTATAATTTATAGTACTTCATGTACAAAGGCCATGTACAGTGAATAGTACTGGTCAGTCATTTCTCAATTGTTTATCGAGATGAGTATTTTATTCATAATTTATGGTGGTAAACACGCACCTGGCAATGTGGCGGTGAATACACGCCGGATAGCAATTATACAAAAGGAAGAAAGGAGATAAAATGGCTGTGAATAGTCTAATGTCAGCCCAGACGAGCCTCAGCCTGGACGAGGTCGACAGGCGCGAGGTCGATCGAAGTGACAACGGCGAACAGGGCGTGGTTCGCGGACGTAACCGATGGCAGACCTGGCGAGAGAAAATGCCAAGCAGCAACGCAGCCAAGCTACAACCCGGCCATAGTAGCGTTGCATTTGGTGGCTAAGCCGTGCGTCAGCCTCTTGACTACTATGGCTGCTTCTGGGCCCATGCCACCACAGGAGGAGAACACTAACGGTGTGAAGGAGCCATGTTCGACTTCATTGACACGTTCACCGTAAACACGCTTCTTCTCACCTTCAAACCTTCGGTAGAGGGAGGGAGGGACTTGGCACGATAGCTTGGCGCGTGGGAATAAAATACACTTGTATCGAAGAATGCGTTGCGGCTATCGGTCCAGAATCCCTTCACCCGCAGGTCGGCACGGGCATCAGGATCAGTGTTGGCTGACCGATGGTGAGAGGCTTCGTCAGTTAGGGGCTGCAATAGTGGCTCCACCTCCACATCCATGATGGAGCTCCTTCATGTACGACGCTATGAAGTGGGTGGGGTCATTGTGTCGCATGTGGATGAACCCCGAGAGCTTGCAAATTTGGGCCTGGTCGACTGAAAACCTTGAGCCACAGGGACAGGATGCTGGCAGGTTGTCCAGGGCCAGGGGCCAGCAGTACCGGAGCCGGATATGGTCGTGAAAGTCAGCTTTCACATAAAACTCGTCGTTGTCGTTGTGTACTTGTAGGTATCCGCAGCCCTGTACCCATGGTACATGTTTGGTAAACAGCATTATAAGGCGGAGAACGCACTGTGTTGAAAACAGTGCTCCTTACTCCAACCATCCACAGTTGGCAGAGCCCCGGTTTTGCACAAGATCATTTGGGGGTTAGCCCTGGTTCTGACCCTCAATATACCGCAGGGAGTTACTTTCTAAAAGTCTTTTTGTTTTCGTTTTGTTCTGTCACTTGTGTACTCTTTGCTCGTTCTTGGGTGCCAGTCCTGCGTAAATCCTCTTGATAGGCTCTGGTTTTCACCTCTCAGCGTTGTTTCTTTGTTTCTGTCATGTTTGAAGACAAGAAGACCTAATTTTAATTAAACATCTCCCTAGTATAATGAGGGTCAGAACCAGGGCTAACCCCCATACGGTTCTCATGGTCTTGCGCTAGACCGCGGGGCCCTGCCAACCGTGGATGGTCGCAGTATAGTAAGGAGTACTGTTTTCAACACTGTACGTCCTCCGTCTTGTATTGCTGTTAACCAAACCGCATGGTACATGTTGTTGGTTTGACAGCATGTAACAAGGTGGAGGACACCGTGTTCGGAAACAGTGACCTTTCTTACAACCACCCACGGTTGGTGGAGCCCCGGTCGGTTGCGACCATCTGAAGTTTTCTTTCTGAACCGTATGGGTGTTTGACCGGGTTCTGACCCTCTCTATTCTAGCGGAGTGGTCTTCGACTACAACCGTGGATGGTTGTAAAAAGGTCACTGTTTCCGAACACGGTGTCTGTCATCCACCTTGTTGTCAACCTACAACATGTTTGACCAAACAAGGTGTATCTAATATTACTACGAGCTACATGGTACATGCCGTCAACCAACAACATGATTGATTGTATACAGAGAGTATTTTTAAACTAGCAATCATAATCCATCACTCATCGGCGCGGCGAGCCCTATCGATGTCGAGGCTCTTGCTGTACAATCAGGTGCAGTGCTGGCAACTGAAATCCGACCCCTGAGCGGTCCCTATTTCGTAGTTTTACCATTCCGTGTTGGGTCTTTGCTATGTGAGCCCCCTCCGCTCAGGGGTCGGATTTCAATTGCCAGCACAGTACATTCCAGTGCAATCGGCAGACGCGGTTGGACTATGTCCTGTAGTTCATGACCGCCCGTGCACGTGCATGAAGATAAAAAAGGATAAAAATTAATGTCAGGTGATGATGTGAGGCAATCACAAGGCGGTTGGACGGGTGCTGGCATCGGAGCCTGTCGGCTTGCTACCGTCTGCACATCATCAGTCTGAACGCTGAAGCAAGTGGGTGTTGACTACTGGTTAACACCAATAATAATTGTGCGGTTGAAGTTGAAAGATAGTGGAGCTGCGATTACTGTCAACAGTACGATGCATTATTACCATCGTTCGGTGACTTTTGTCTCATGTTAGTGCTGCTGCCAGTGCCATGCTGGTAGTGCCACATGTATGTGGTAGTGATAATGCTATGGGGCCATGGGGAGTGATTTGTGATACTGTGATAATAGATCACGATCACAAACTACCCCCACATTATTATGATTGTGCGGATAGTACATGTCACGTGTGTGGTAGTGAATCTGGTGAAACACGCATGGTAGTGATATCAGCGAGATGCTCTACACCAGCACGCAGAGTAGCGCTAAGAGCAACACACACTATAATAATAATTATTATTATCAAGGGTACAAAGCTGGACTCTTTCTATATAGGAGTAGTATTGCTCTACATGACTGTACACCCTGATTTCTGTTATACTTGTAGTCAAAGCACAAACAGTAAGCGAAAGCAGAGCGTGGTTTTATAGTAGCTGTTACTAGTAGCTGTTATAATACTTCAGTAGAGTCTGCAATCTGAACGCGGCACATTCAGAAGCAATGTCATACTAATCTGCTGGATTCTTTCTTTTACTTCGGTATCCCTCCGCTCACAGGTATCCCTCCGCTCACAGGCCAGTGGCTGAGGACTGTGATTCCGTGGACTAAACCAACGATCATTGGATGGTAGCAATAAGCATTTTTCTTACCAGAAGCTTCTGGAAGGGAAGACTGGCTGGCAGGACTGCGCCCACGAACCACAAAATGTAAGGCATACCTACAATGTACTAGTAGTAGTAGATCTACATGACTGATTGTACACTCAATTCAAGTCTGTGGACAGCAGCTGTTTCGCTCTGTTAGAGCTCCTCAGCACAGCTCAGAGGACCGAAGCGCAGCTCTTCGCAATGAAATACGTTTCCGTGAAGCAAAGCATTTTTATGACTGATTGTACATGTAGATGACCGGACTGGAGACTGGACCTGCGTGGACATCAAAAGTAGTTCAAACCCGTGCAGTCCGAGCACTTCAAACTCAAAGTGCGACCGTTCACGAGTACTGCTCGAGGACTTGGCCGGACTGAATCTAAGCTCCCCTGATGCCCAGCTTGCTAGCCTGGACTGGAGTGAAAGCAGAGGTGGCAAGTGAAAGCAGGGGTGGCAAGTCTCACAGCTTTTAAAAAAGGTGTCAACAAACACATTTCAGACCAGCCATGGTCTTGGGACGTGCTTTGAAGCCCATCATGTTGATCGTCTCACTGTTCTTTCCAGATCGCACCTCTCGGTTTGGGGATGTGCATTGAAGCACCCCATACTAACGGTCTATACTGTCCTCTCTTGGTCACCACTCTCCCTATTACCTATTATTGTAATTACCATTCATGTATTGCGCTTCAGATTTTCTTCCGTTTTTGTCTTTTGGTGCGTTACCGGCATGGCGATACTGAGACCTAATGGTCAGTGGAGTGCCTGTAGCCTCACCAGCACTGCTACTATCTGTGACTGTGGCGACCACCATTCAATGTCTCGTCCTCCCCTAACCGTACCCCAACTCTCTCTCAGCTCTCTTTTTATCTGTCTTTTCTTACTCTTTTTTCTTTTGTCAGCTTTCCTGGTGGTTATGTGCTTTTTCAAGTAAATAAAAAAAAAAAAAAAAAAAAAAGTGAAGTGGTTCTTGACTCAGAGGTTCCGACGCAATAACCAGCGCAACCCCATGGTGTACCGACACTTCATCAGTACATGTCCATATAACAAGCTTTAATAGTGTAAGTGATGACTATTTTAATTGTTTTTAAACAAAAAAAAGTAACATACAGTCATGTACATAGGGCTTGAAAGTGATGACGTCAAAACGGCCAGGGAGTAGTAAGTTGACATCAGATTTCTAATTTTGGATCCACTAAGGTGTGACTTTGCTATTGCCTAAGTATGTGGGTGCATAGCAACCCACTCATGTCGCATGCAGGTGTGACTTTTATTTCGCCACCAGTTGTAACCCCGCCCCCAGTAGCCAAATCAGTCAGTTTCACTGGTTACATCACCTTGCTGAGAGTAAGACGGCTTGAAATGTGCTTGGATCCATACAAAAACTGGATCCAAGTGGATCCAATTTTTGAATTTTTGAAATTGTTGCTATGCTGTGACGTAGCACTTTCAAGCCCTATTGGCTGCTGTTATGGCTCCTAGTGTCTCTGCTGCAGTGCCGACTGTGACTGCTGTGTTTCCTCAACCTCAGACCTTATAAGTTATAACAACAACCGGTGGCAGTGACTCTCAAAGATGTTTTACTGCTGTGTAGATCTACCCCAATAGCCCCCCCCCCCCCCCCCCCCCGCTCACTGGCCTTCTTGACTGGAGCTAGCAGCCTACTAGTACTAGGAGAGCCTGATGCACGAAAGCGCTGGTTTCCCACCGCTGCCAAGTGCCAGCAATCAGCAATGACTCGGCCGTATGAGATGAGCGCCTAGGGCAGCGTTGCCTTGACATCTGGACTCCGAGTCGGTGATGGAGGAGCCGTCTGCCTGCCTCTTTCTTGATGACGGTTCACCGTTGTCACGGGGGCACGGCTTGTCAGCAACTAGCCAACCTGGCCAACACTTGACAGCCGGTTCGACCAGGAGGACGAGTGGAAGTTTTCATCACTGCGCTCGGACATGTTCCCCTTTTATTTCTGGCGATGACTTTTGTTGCTTCTCCGCTAGGCTAGGCCTATAGGCGGTGTATTATTGTTAGTATCAGGGTTTAGTCGAATTGCCCGTGCAAGAGCCCGTCATACACAATGTGATGCAGTTAGTGCGTTTCGGATCTACACACGCATGATTGTTTCTTGTCATTGTTAGCATGCAGAAGCATGGGTGGAGTCTCCTGTGGATGTAACCAGCTCGTTCCATAACAGGCAGACGCCTGGCACCTGCAGACAGAGATGCAGAACACCATCTGATGATCAGGGAGTCGTCAGATACCCGGGTATTTGACGCCCCCCTGCCCCTGAACACCATCAAGAGTTCATGAACTCTTCATAATGGTTCTTATTGGTATGAACTCTTGCCATTATCATACCGTACTCCACTGTTGGCCATGCCTCCACATCCGTCTCCAGCAGCTCCACTCAGAGGCACTTAACTCTACTGTAGCTCCGATCAGGTGAGCCCCAGGGCCCTTCAAGTGCTTTGATGAAGACGAAGAGGGTTCAACTAAAAAACTTCAACTCAAGTGACTCGGGTTGACTCGGGATCGGGTCGATTACAGATTATGTCGACAAAAGTCCAACTTTTTCTGTACTAGCTAGCTGTGTGGTGTGAGTCTTGACGACTCCCTGTTGAGTAAAGCCGCTAGCCGGGTCTTTTCAAAAAAAAACTTTGGCAAGGGCGCATACACGCGCAAATCATGCTACAAACATGTAGATCATGGTGGATGATCGGATGGTAGATCTACTCCCTGATGAGTGATGGTAGACGTCCTGTGCCGCTTCATGGTTGCAGTCAGGATTCAGGAATCAAGATTACTACGAGCGACTCGTACTGTATATTTTCCACGCCCTCCGCCTTGTCAGGCTTGTGTCTGTGCTGAGTACTCTTTTGTAGTACAACTCCCTGTTGTTTCGAATTGACACGCGTGCACGCCGGCCTGGCCGGACATTCTGGCAGGATTGTACCAAGGTTCAACGCAGTATTTCGATTGCGAGTGCCTTCTTGTCATGTCAAACGCGAAGCAGCCAGAGGACGTCCCACGTCTTCCAATCATTTTGATTTGAGGTTGAATCGGAATTGAAGGAGAGGAAGATACAGGTAAACATTATTATTTTTGTGATTATATCGTACCAAGAGTACATTCGTACTCGTACGACCGGTCATAAAAGGAAAGCCCCCAGTCTTTCATAAAAAATATGCTAATAATCTTGGGTCATAGCAAGATTACCTAAGAATTATTTTGCACCCCCTAATGCCCTATGGATCATGGAGTGCTCTTCCAGTGATATTTCTGAAGTATGTAATGTGCGATTCGAAGCCCAACTAAGGAAACTTTTTTAAAATTTCAAATTAAATTTGAAATTCAAAAAAGTTTTTTGGCGCTGCGCTGTGCATATATACAATGTGACGGCAAGAGTACATAACGCCAAGCGTAGTGGTGTGCAGGACCTCGGGTAGACGGGTGCAGAATAGTGCCCGTCTACCCGAGGTCGCAGATGACATCAAGTACAGTGCACGTGTACAAATTCGTGTAATACTCCGCATGTCTACCCAGTGTGTAAGGGAAGGGGTGCATTGTGGTGTTACCGTGGAAACCTTACCCGATCGGGTACCCGTGCTACCCGTGGAAAACTACCCCCGGACCCGATACCCGAAGAAAATGCTGCCCGACTCAGCCCTAGCCAACCAAGACTGCAAGAGTGTGCTGAACTCTGGATACCCTTTCTATGGGGTGCAGCGATGGTGGAACCTCACATCACCTGGTGTAGTGTTGCCGTTGTACTGCAGTACTGGTGGTATGTTCCCAGCCTGTTTTTGGCAACCATTGGAGTTGAAAAAAATAGCACTCCTGATAGAAACCCACTGAACTGATGCGAGTCATCGGTCATGATCTGGCAAATATTCGGACTGCGCGCACGTAGCGTTCGTTGTACGTAGTACAAATTGTACTTGGAACGCGTGATGTGAGTTTTCGCCGTCGGAGACCCTGTATGCAGAGTTGCCCACTCTTGGCAGCTTGTTTACTCTTGGTGACCACTGGCACTGGTGACATGGTTCACACACCAATAGGTGACGCTGGCAAACAGTGCGCTGAAAGTGACCAGCAGAGAGTTGAACCCAAAGCTGTGTTGAGTACGAGTACAACCCTGTATCCAGTACCTATCATGCACAGATCATGATGAACTCTGCAAAAAGAATATCATGCACAGGGTGCAAATATTATCCCGATGGCTGAGTGATATTCCATGCTATGGTAGCCGTCTACTCGCCCACGGACAGCATAATAATAATAAAAAAAGAGCTGCCATTATAGTGGCAGCTCTTTCTTTGATCTTGTTTGGAAGACTTTGACCAGCTCACAAAATAGCATTTTAGCAATGACTAGCTTGTGGTCCATACTTGCTAACCCCTGGCAAACAGTTTCCTTGTGTGTGTGTGTGTGTGTATGCACGTGTGTGTGTGTGCACGTGTGTGTGTGTGTGTGTGTGTGTGTTGCCGTGTGTGTGCGTGCGTGCGTGCGTGTGTGTGTGTGTGTGTGTGTGTGTGTGTGTGTGTGGTTACATGGTGTGTTACATGGTGTGTTACATAATGTGTACACGTGTACGTGTGCAGTGCGTGGACGTTTTGTATGCAAGGTTACTGGTGAAGCAGTATGGTAGAAGATGACACCACAACCGAGAAGCCACCTGCCGATGGCAATCATGTGCAGTTTACAGCAGGGTAAGGCCATACTATTCAAACCAGGTATTTCTATGTGTCAACACTAAAAGCAGGCTTATATGCTGGCAGTGTATCTTGAAAATCATTCTATATGAGACAGGCTTTAAAATACAAGACACGACGGCATACAGTGGTGGTGAACAGAATCTGGTATTTGTCTTGGAGGCTGTGTCCTGTTATGAATTTATGATACACCACTTCTTGTACCAGTAGATGCGTACAACCAGGGATCGATTCAGTGATTCAACAATAAAGAAAAATAATATTATGTTTAGGGATGAAACGATCATCCATTTCTTCTTATCGAGTACCGTTTATTATTAACGATCGAGTTATCATAAAACGAGTATGCTGAATTTGTATGACAAATAAATTTTACTGGTCTCCGGGGAATATGTGCATGACACACCGGATCCCAAAATGCGAAGGTGCCTAGAAAAAGGTGTGAATTTTGTCACCTTGGATGACGCGTGCTGGAGTTGACTATGCAGACAGTGTGACTTAGCTAGTACTATGCACATGTACACTGCACATGTACAAGTCGTGCATACTCGATAACAGCATAACGAGTAGCGATCACAGAGATAACGAGTAAGTTCCGAGTAATCGGTGTACTCGTTTCATCCCTAATTATGTTATGAACGAGAGCTGAAAGTTCAAATTGAGTGCAGCACTGCAGTACTCAGTGGAGCCAACCAAATTTCCTGTGCATGGTATCCCATACTCTATACATCAAAAAACCTTTTTAAAACTACTCAATCTGTGGACGGCATGCTGTTTCGTCCTTTGTGGACTCATCAGCGCAGCACAGAGGAAATGAGGCCAAACCTGATAGCAATGAAAAATAAATTTTCCTACTTATTCTCCACTATTTCTTCCTACTTTCATCGTTTTATTGCACATTGTCTCCACTGTTTTACATTGCATGAGTAAAGTACAGTCATCCCTCTCTAATCCGGCACCTTTTGCAACGGCATTTTCTGCTGGATAAACAAGCAAGGTAAGTATATTCTAGGACGAATTTCCAACCGGTTTTGGTCCAATGAAGAGTCCGGGGTCCCCCCCGGAAAAGTTTTTCAAACTACAACCCAAATATGGCACTCGACAGCAATTTAACAGATTTCTTGGTGCTGGAGTGTAGCAAAGATATAAGCAAGTCCATGATCAAAAACAGCTTCTAGAGAAGAAGAACTGAACTGCCATCGAGAAGTCGAAGACTATTTATTGCAAGCAGATCACCTAGAAAGGGGCACTTTTGGAGCGAGAGCATCGAACAGTCTACGACGTTGTACTAACTTCCAACCCCAAGCCCGGTACTGTAGACATACATTCATGCGCATTCTTTCCGGTGCAACGAAAAGTTTGTAAACTCCGCGCCCAAGAACGGGAAAGTAAGTTGTGTGAACTCATGGATCCACACTCACCTCCAGCTCCAACCAAGTATGTACTTACCGCGGTACCGGAACTTACTTGTGGAAGTGTGATGACGGCTAAGAAGGTGTGAAAGCGATGTCGCGCGGAGCTGTTGGACTGCAGCAACGCCGTTGCTACAGCTCGATGACGCGGTTCGACCGTACAAACCGTACAAACTCGTGACCCTAGTACCAGCCCACGCGGCTTCGCTGGAAGTATCCGTCCAGAAAAAAGCGTTTGACCATTCACAGCTCCATTCACCCACAGAAAAGTACGGGCGGTTGGAACTGATTTGTAACTTTTCAACCGGTCGCCAACAATTTCAACCGGTCGAAAACCGGTTGGGGCGGTTCTAGAAAATTCCCTGAGTCAAGGGTGCTGGATTATCAAATCCTGTCCTCCAACCCGGCCCACCTACTAGCATACATGTTTGTGTCGTACGTCAAAACGCAGGGATTTTCCGTCTCAATCCAAGTACTCTGTGGAGTGCATGTCTATACAGTGCATAGGCTATTAGAGAGGTTCTGCTACACGGAACTACGTACCAAACTCCGTGTCAACTGCAGTGAAGTTTGACACGGATTTTTCGTACGTTGCACCGGTTCTGCTGTACGTAGCATGCACGAACACCCCGCCACATGTACTCTGTACGCTCAGTTTTCACACGGAGTCCAGTCCGCGCTTCACACGGAAAACGGTATGAAAAAAGTCCGTATGAAACTTGATCCCGTACCGCGGCGAAGTTTCCATACGTACTTTGGCACGTTTTACCGTGTGGCAGAACCTCACTATTCCCAAGTGTATGTTACGTGTGTAGAATGCTCCCTGATAAGTAGTTCATGCACTGACCAAACTAACATAGCTGTGCTCCGGTACGGTATGCGATGTACAACTGCTGTATTAGAAAACCGAATTAGGTACAGTTTGAGCGATTTGTTGCAGAAAATCGCTGCTGGAGGCGGAATTCAAGTGCCGGATTAAAGCGTACAAAATGAACTGAAAAAATCCGTTTTGCCAGAAAGTGTGCTGGTTTGCAAGGGTGCTGGATAAACAAGTGCCGGATTAGAGAGGGACGACGGAAAAAACAAATGTCGATTCAGCTTGTCCTATTGATTGCGGTTATCAAATTTCCAAAGCCAGATTTAAACCAGGCCCGTTGAACTATGTGTTTGTGTACAGCATTAGTATTGATGGCACTGACGACGACGGTGACAGCAGCAGCGGCAGCAGCAGCAACAGCGGAGCCAAGGAGGAGCACCGGCATGCTGCTCAGCTCAAGTATGTGTCCCTGCTGGCCGTCACGTTACAGACCACTGCGTTCGTACTGACCATGCGCTACTCCAGGACCAGGAACACGAGCGGACCGCTCTACCTTGCATCCACAGCAGTCGTCATGAGTGAAGTGAGTTGATCAGTGGATTCTATGTCGTATGTATGGATTGTATCATGAGTACGACGGGTGTGCTGCTGAATATTTTCACGAGTGCGTAGCCCGAGGGAAATATGAGGGAGATGGTATGCACAGAGAACGAATGGTTAACTCCATGTATGTCCCATGGTACTTTCGCAAGTATATAGGGTGTCCTAGAACTAAAGCTCCCATATTTACTCTTGGCATGACCCATGTGAGTGGGTTTCTGTCAGGGAGTGCCATTTTTTCAACTCCATTGGTGTCGCTAAAACGGGCTAGGAACTTACAACTGGGACACTACATCACGTGATGTGAGTTTTGGCCGTCGACGAACCCCATAGAAAGAGTATCAGGAGCTACACACTCTTTGGAGCTCATGCTACTGTGCATAGTATGTGAACCCATGCTGAAAGTGAGTGAATTCAGACACTACGCGTCTATGTACATGTTTGCAAAACACTGGCACAGGCGTAACGTTTTGCACTCTGGTGCATATGTGTGTGTGTGTGTGTGTGTGTGTGTGTGTGTGTGTGTGTGTGTGTGTACATGTATGTGTGCACGCGTATGCGCTGCTCTACAGGTACTGAAGGTCTTCAGCAGCCTGTCACTGCTCTGGCTGGAACAGTATCGTAATGACACTTCCAGTAGCTATGGCCCCGTTGCATTCCTGTCCAACTTACGCACCACACTGATGAAGGAGCCCCGTGAAATGCTGCACCTAGCAGTACCAGCCTTCTTGTATACCTGCCAGAGTAACTTGATCTTCCTTGCTCTTACCAATCTGGATGCAGCCACTTTCCAAATCACTAATCAGCTGAAGATACTCACCACGGCTGTGTTCAGTGTTGTCATGTTACAACGGCAGCTGAGCATGCGCAAGTGGGTAGCACTCTGCCTGCTAACTGCTGGAGTGTCTATAGTACAGGTGAGTAGAAGCTGCTGCTAACTTGACTACTGGTGCTGCTGGTGGTGTTGCTGCTGGTGCTGCTGTGGTGGTGGTGTTGCTGCTGCTGCTTTGATGGTGGTGGTGGTGCTGCTGCTGCTGCTGTGGTTGTGGTCAGAGTGGTGGTGGTGCTTCTGGTGTTGTTGCTACTGTTGCTGCTGCTATGATGCTGATGTGGAGGTGTGCTGCTGTCACAATTGCTGCTTTTGCATTGAAAATCTCAAGGCTGCTACAGGTGCTAGTTTGTATGGCTTTGCAGGAATATGCATAATTGCCCTGTGCACACAATGCTGGCATGATACACTAATTCTCGAACCTTCGCTGCCACCGATACCCATGCGGAGAGTGATGTACACTTGCACAATTCGGGCTGGGGTTTGGACCCTTTAGTGGGGTTTTGGACCCTTTAGTGGGGTTTGGACCCTTTAGTGGGGTTTTGGACCCTTTAGTGGGGTTTGGACCCTTTAGTGGGGTTTGGACCCTTTAGTGGGGTTTTGGACCCTTTAGTGGGGTTTGGACCCTTTAGTGGGGTTTGGACCCTTTAGTGGGGTTTTGGACCCTTTAGTGGGGTTTTGGACCCTTTAGGCTTTAGTGCCGTATTACTGGGCGAAGATGGGCAGAGTTTTTTTTCTGTAGTTTGCACGAGGAGGCAGCGTGGTAGAAAACACGTCTTGTTTATTTTACTTTCCAAATGCGCATGTCCAGGCTCTCCGCCTTCTTCGTGAATTAAAAAGACAAACAACCAACAGCATAAATTTCAAGGTCCACGTTCCGGCTGTCCGGCTTCTCCGCGGACCCATAGAAAACTAGACGTGTTGTTTTATCGCCATTGTGTTGTGCTGTTGTCTGTAGTTGCCGTCAAGTTCAGTGGGAGGTGTTGCTGCTGCCAAACCAAGAGGCAATGCTGTCATCGGTCTGATCGCTAGTCTACTGGCATGCTGCTCTTCAGGTTTTGCCGGTGTCTACTTTGAGAAAATTGTGAAGAGAACTGCACCATCACTATGGTTACGCAACTTCCAGCTTGGTATGTACACGAGTGTGTATGTGTGTGTGTGTGTGTGTGTGTATGTGTGTGTGTGTGTGTGTGTGTGTGTGTGTGTGTATGTATGTGTGTGTGTGTATGTATGTGTGTGTGTGTGTGTGTGTGTGTGTATGTGTATGTGTGTGTGTGTATGTGTGTGTGTGTGTGTGTGTGTGTGTGTGTGTGTGTATGTATGCGTGTGTGTGTGTATGTATGCGTGTGTGTGTGTGTGTGTGTGTGTGTGTGTATGTATGTGTGTGTGTGTGTATGTATGCGTGTGTGTGTGTGTGTGTGTGTGTGTGTGTGTGTGTGTGTGTGTGTGCGCGCGCATGTGTGCGCACGTGTCTTTGAAAGTGTTGACGCTGATTGTGATACTAATCGCTAAATTTCAAGTCTATCTGCTCTTGCTGCACTGTCATAGCACTAGTGTTTTCTGCGCACAGCAAGCAAGTGTACATTACACACCAGAGTGTGCAACTGCCTGCACTTTGTCAGTTTTGGTGCCGCGACCGCTGAGTTTCCACCACTTTACTTGAGCAGGGTTTTGATAACAATGCTCTTGTGTCTTGTACTGTCACACTGTCACACAGTGTGTCAGTACAAGAGTACATGCAACCCAGAGTGTGCAGCTCGGATGGGTTGCTGTCACGGCGAAATTCCCTGATTACATCATTTTAGTAACGTAGTGCGTACAAGCAGGATATGAGCAGGTCTCTTTCTGCACAACCGCAGCTCAGTTGTACGCACTACGCCACTTCCCACTTCAGATCTGCACCAAATATGATGTAATCGCGGAATTTCACCGTGACAGACACCCATGCAGAAAAGAGTCAGAAGCTGCACACTATGGGTGTCATGTACTCCTGGTCATTATCATGAATTATTATTTGAAGTATTCTTATTACAAGTGGATGGTTGTGTGCTGTGACTACTGTATGTTGTTTGTGACTGTGCTGTTGCCTTGTAACGTTACAGCGATGTTCAGTGTCATACTGGGCTTGGTGGGTGTCATTGGCAAAGATTACAATGCCGTCCTGCAGGGTGGATTCTTCCAAGGCTACTCCAGTATTGTGTGGATCGCCATTGCCCTGCAGGTTGGTTGTGTGTGTGTGTGTGTGTGTGTGTGTGCGCGTGTGTGTATGTATATGTGTGTGCGTGTGTGTATGTATATGTGTGTGCGTGTGTGTGTGTGTGTGCGTGTGTGTGTGTGTGTGTGTGTGTGTGTGTGTGTGTGTGCGTGTGTGTGTGTGTGTGTGTGTGTGTGCGTGTGTGTATGTATATGTGTGTGCGTGTGTGTATGTATATGTGTGTGCGTGTGTGTGTGTGTGCGTGTGTGTGTGTGTGTGTGTGTGTGTGTGCGTGTGTGTGTGTGTGTGTGTGTGTGCGTGTGTGTGTGTGTGTGTGTGCGTGTGTGTGCACGTCACGTGCTTGTGTGTTTGTGTGTGTACCTTTTAAACGTGCGCTGCATTGCTGGACATTGCATGTACAATGTACATGTAGCGTACACTGTACATGTATCAGCATGTGTGCCATGGCCAGAAGCTTGTGTTCTGAACCAGGGACGAACTTCTAAATCCTGCTCTTGTAGAAAATGGGGATGCCACAACTAAGATGTGGACACTCAGGTGTGCATTGCGTAAATGCATGTAAGGGAGCATAATAAGTTCGCATTTTTTTTCTAAACGTAACGCATTTCGAAACGGGGGTAGGGGGGTAACGTTTTCGAATAGAAATTCGCACATTTCCTGGATGTGTACATACTGTGCATGCAGTGCATGTGCTAGATCGCTTCAGCAAAATGAGCGTGTTTAGGTGTAGAGCTATGTCACAGGATGTGCCTGTGTTTGGAGATCATGCCTTGCACTGCATGCATACAGGCTACTCAGAGGTGTCAAGTGTCACATCAGCATCATCAAACTGTGTACCTGGCCAGCTTTTACAGTACACAATGGTTGTGGGGGAACTCTGTTTATGTGCGTGTACATGTCATTTCTTGTACTCAGTACTTAGATGCAGACTGTATGCCATTCACTTTGACATTCATGTGCATACATGTGCATGGACATGCATGGCATGGACATGCACAGTACATGTACATGTATTAGATCCACACGGAAAATGTGCGATAAGACTTTCAAATAGAGGGGGGAGGTAGGGGGGTAAAGTCTATTCGAAATGCGTTACGTTTACAAAAAAAGTGCGAACTTATGAGATGCTCCCTAAGTCTGTAGAATGTGATGCAGTGTTGCATTTCACCTACTGTCGTGGACATTGAAATCCATTGAGAAGTCAAGCGGCCACGGGGCCCCGCTGGCCTTGCAGCCACCGTGAGCACTGCTGGTCCATTTTTACAGTGTGTACTGGAACTACAGTGCATGTACTCGCTAAAAGCAGTAAGGACGCTGGCCTCGGTCATTCCACCGGTATTTCAATATCCACAACAGTATGTGTACTGGAAGACAGTGGAATTGTTTCCCAGTACATTAGCAGAACATTGCCTGGATTTACGATACATGATGTGTGTTAGTCAGGACATGGCTATCTACAGTACATGTGTGTTAGTCAGGGCATGGCTATCTACAGTACATGATGTGTGTTAGTCATGGAGTCACTATCTACTACTTCTCGTACTGTACATGTATGTTGGTCATGGCATGGTTGTCTTTATCCCACCGCCTTGTGTCCTATGTTCACCTGTACATGTACTCCAGGCTCTTGGAGGAATGATTGTGGCCGCAGTGATCAAGTATGCCGATAACATCCTGAAGAGCTTTGCAGTGTCAGCATCGATGATACTCTCCACAATCCTCTCTTATCTCTTCCTGTGTGACCTAAGCCTTACAGCGTAAGTGTGGGTGTACAGGTACTAACGGCAACACTCAAGTCACACACACACACACACACACACGTCCGCAAGCGCACATCACGCATTAGGCACATATTACGTGCCATGGTTCAATAGGTCACGGCGGCAAGAGTTGCAGACTCTCGGGGGTAGTGTGCTCTTCTTGATCATACACAGTGTGGAAATAATGTGCACGGGTTTGTTACGTGATGTGAAGTTCCGCCGTCGTAGACCCCCTAGCTGGAGCTGCACGCTAAACAGTATCTGTTATACATACCCCACCAAGCAACGGTTGAATGAGCCTTGCTAGCATGTTGTGTTGGTACTCTAGGCTTTTTTTTACGGGCAAAGTAAACACAATGGTTGTGTGATTAAGTGTTTGTGTGTGTGTGTGTGTGTGTGCGCGCGCGCGCGTGCGTTGTGTTACTTGCCGTGCGTGTACAGGTTCTTCGTGGCGGGGCTGGTGATCGTGCTGTTTGCAACCGTGCTCTACAGCTACCCGGATAAAGTGCAAGAACGCCAGCTACCCACACCCAATGCGCAGCCAGCCAACGATTCCCAGCAAGCGCCCGCCGTCAAAGTGGACACAGGATGAATATACAGTCACTGTGTGCAGTCACTGTCACTGTGTGCAGTCACAGTCACTGTCACTGTGTGCAGTCACAGTCACTGTGTGCCGATCCGCTGTATGTTATTCTAGGTGTTTTTACATCTCAATTGAATTTTACTAGTCTTTCAAGTGCAACGTTTTCCCAGCCTCATGATGGCTCAGGCGTACTTATCCTCCACTAACCACAGCCAGTCCACGGTGCCTGGCACCATTACGTTCATGGTGGGTTTAGCCAAATATCACTCTTTCCCTCATTCCAGTCTGGATGACCGGGGTTTGAGAATAAAGCAATGCTGTCTGCTCTATTCTGTTCCCACCGTATCAAACAGCTGTAACTTATCGATATGACCATGCGTGCTTCTGGCATACAGGTATACACTACACCACACCAGATATACATCAAAGTGAAATTCATGTATAGTTTCCACCAGGGCTAAACCTGGTTTCTCGCTTTCAACTGCCTGAACGCTGCACCCAGTTGACTATTTCAGTTGTGACTTTAAACATTTTTTATTAATTTATAGTTTTATACAAGTAGCTGTCAAGACGAACATTGGCTGACATACTGCAATCTTGTCAATGATATTGTGCAAGTATTCCCCATCACAGGGTAACCAGCAACCTGACCTTGTTGATTTATTTTAATTTTAGTACGCAGTAAACAACGTGCATTCTCTGGCGATAGTGTCACTCTGCTAGCTGCTTATGCTGTTGTCCCGTGTTTGTACTCAGTTTTAGCAGGCCAGGGTTTCATACCATTCACTATAATAAATAATAGAAAAGCTGACAGGTTCGCTTTTCTAAATTCAGGGATAGTCCAGGAGTGTGTGAAAGTTTATCCTTTCCTGTGGCAATATCAGAATGGCACAAGGTCTGCGGTTGCAGTTTTTGGTCTTCATACAAAACTGGTATTGCCTATCGTAATGTGTAAGGGGTTATTTGCCCACCACATCATTTCGAACTTTGAATGGCCGTGGGGAGCTAGCCTTGAACATGCATGTGCACAGCACACTGTCAGTCATGATGATGACGGTACATGTAGTAGCAAGAGTACATAACCCCGGGTTATGTACTCTTGCTACTACATGTACCATTGAAAGGCAATGGGGTAGCCGGTGTGCAATACAGATCGCACAGCACGCAAACCAAACAAAACCGATAAAAACGAAAACAGACGCGGGCACATAGCTCGCACGTGCAAGTGGGTTTAGTACTTCGTCTGCGAAGTCTGCGAAGTACTACAAGTACTCGAAAAGAAGAAATTCTCATTGATGCTCAAGATCACTAAACACTGCCAGTTACAGCACTAGGAAGCAGGGAGTAGTACACTACCATATTATACTACTCCCTGCTGCGGGAGGTAGCATGAAGAAGTTTTAAAATCCAGAATGAGAACCAGAGAAGTCCAGTACAATACAAGAAGATCAGCGGCAACGGAGAGCACAGGAATGTGTGTAACAACTTGGGAATTTTAACTACAGCAGCAAGCATGTGGAAAAACCTGTAGCCGAACAAGAAGTCGCGCAGAAGCACGAGCAGTACACAAATGAGAGAGGTACATGTGGGTTTAAAAATATTCTGAAAGCGGGCATGAGCTCTCTAGTCATCAAGCCATAGCCAAGAAATTACTAAAACAATTCTTCAAAACAACTCTTCACGAATGCACGAGGTTGGTCATGTAGAGGTTGATGCAGCAATGCACAGCATGTCGGAGAGGGAAACTCACTGAGCTGGACGAGCCACGAGGGATTGATGGCGGCACGCTGCCGAGCCCTGCACATCTACTTCTTCGCCTTGAAGTTGAACTTGATACCCTGGGCTAGCGGCAGTTTCTTTCCATGGTTGATGGTACTGCGGGACACAATGAACACATACATGTACAGTTGTGTCTTGTATTAAAGCCGTTCTCATATAGAAGCCTGTCTTGAATAGAAGCATGATTTTCAAGATACACTGTCGGCACATAAGCCTGGTTTTAGTGTTGACATACATAGAAATACCTGTCTTGTATAGAAGCCTGTGTCTCGTGTAGAAGCCTGCAAAATTTCCCCCAAAAAGTCATATAAGCTGCGGCTTTTATACACGACTTTACGGTAGATGTTAGTAACAGTTGCAGCTCACTAAACTGTACTGACACATGATGCACTCAGGCACGAGAGCAGATAAGCCGAGAGCAGTGATTGCGAGGGACAGGGAGATGGGCGAGAAGAAAAAAAATTCACGGTGGTTCGCGTCGAAACTCGGTTAGACTGAGTTTCCACATCCGTAGGAACGCCACCACCCCCAAGGATCAAGGCGAAGATGCAGCTCCTAAAGCGGTGGGAGGTGAGTAGATTAAACTCACCACCAAAGTGGTCGAATACCTAAAATCCCATTCGCTGCATCCTTGGTGAGGTAAATAAGGGGAGAGAAAAGTTGAGAAAACGGACATGAACTCTCCACATTGCACTACGTACAGAAGTGCACATGTGCACCAGGGAGTTGTGCAAACCCGGGGGAGGATACAGCGTGCAAAAGCGCGGGTGATGTGTGCCTCACGACCCGTGGGGAAGCCCCTGGGTAAAAATCGCGGGGAACCTCAGAATTTGATTATATTCGACTTGTGTGGGTGTGGGGAGTAAACACCTTTACGATATTACGACTTCTCAAACGTTTTCTGAGATTCTTTCACCATAAATACACAAAAGTACAGAAGATATGACTCTCGCGATGTCCGGCGAAGAATACACGACAATAGAAAAAGAAGGATAAAGAAATAAGCCTCCAGCGGAGACAGTGGATAATCAGAAAAAAAGAAAACCGGACTGATCGTGCCCTGTCATCCCTAGATCAGTTTTCTGGAGAGGAACGGGTGGACAAGGTTGGGCCGAAGGAACACACCACGTCCTTCTCAAACCTTGTCGTTAGTGAAACCCAGTGTTGTGTCCTCTCCCAGGTTTATACAACTCCTTGATGTGCATATACATGTACACGCACACAAACATGACAAACATGACAAACATGACAAACATGACAAACATGACAAACATGACAAACACGACAAACATGACAAACATGACAAACATGACAAACACGACAAACATGACAAACATGACTCTGCAACTGTAACACATATACAGACACAGTGACACATACACACACAATACACGCACGCGCTTACACACGCATGCGCACACATGCGCACACACACACACACACACTCTCACACACACCACACACATACACACACACGCACGCGCACACACACACACACACACACGCACACACACACACACACACGCGCACACACACACACACACACACACAATATCGGTACGTGCTTGCAGCACTCACATTGTTGATCGACGCATGTATGCCTTCCAGGCATCACTGCCTGATTCGCGGCCACCACCCGTGTGCTTCTCACCACCTAACAAACAGACACACCAGACAAAACCAGACAAACCAGACAAAACCAGACAAAACCAGACAAAACCAGCACAACATCAGCAAGAGCAATGGGAATGATCATAGAAGTGTCAACACACTTACTACATGCATAGTGCTGCTGGCCGGCAAAGAAATCCAACCTCATGAAAAGAAAGCAGCGCCGGGCGCTACGCAGACCTAGCACTACACACACTGGTCTGCGCACTCGAACGCTGCGCTACTTTATTCATGAGGTTGGATTTCTCTGGCCAGCATTGTAGTATTAGGAGTTACAGGTGAAAATGTAGCACCACTGGCTTACCCTGAGCCATGCAGCAACAGCAGCAGCAGCAACAACAGCAACAGCAGCAGCAGCAACAGCATCAGCATCAGCAGCAGCAGCATCAGCAGCAGCAGCACCACCACCACAGCAGCAGCAGCACTCCATGCAGGCGTGTCAGGCAGCACACATGCAGTGCTACCAAATCGTCTGGTTTATCAGACACTGTACGGAAATTCACCCACCACAAACACCATGGCAACGGGCTGAGTATCCGCCTACATCACCGGCATCAGATACCATGATAATATACAAAAGAAGAACTTCAACGAGTTGAAATTAGTGATGAGTTTCATTCCAGGACACCTCTTGTTGAAAATAGGCAGGCCCTTGGGCACTGATCAAGCTGGTTACCATGGTGACACAACCACTGCACACACGACCAAGGAAAGGGAGAGGCTGATAGCTGATTACTTACCAAAGGCACCACCGATTTCCGCTCCGCTTGTGGGTATGTTCACATTGATAATGCCGCAATCAGATCCAGCCGGGCTGTAAGCAGGTGATACGCACATGTACGCACACATACACACACACACACACACACACACACACACACACACACACACACACACACACACACACACACACACACACATACGTACACACACATACGTACACATACACACACATACGTATACAAGTACACATTATGTGCACACAGATATACACAATCATGTACACAAACACACATACGTCCACACAATAGCGAGAATTCCTAGATTGCTCAACACCACAAGCAGGAGTGGCACACACGGTACGACCATGGTCACACCACGTTTCATCCAGGATGGTCCGTCCAGAGCCCCTGGTATACTGTAGAGGCAGAAAATTTCGTCGGTCAATAATTTCGTCCAACTCCAAAAAAAAGGAGTTCGTCCGGCTGAAAATTTCGTCCATGGATCATAAGAGTGTATAGAAAAGCTGGACAAATCGATATTCGTCCTACATTTAATTTAGTCCAAAAGCTCCTTGGACGAAAAAGACGAAATTAAATTCCAGACCAATATTTCTGCTTATACAGTATGTAGAGCGCTAAAACGTGCCCGGCTGGCGGTTGCCTAGGAAATCCGGTCAAATGACCGGGGCCCGCGCCCTCAGTGCGTACAGAACGTAGCTCATTGCATGCGATGAAGCGTCGAGCTGAACGCTCCAGACGTGCAGCTAGACGCACTAGACGCCTGCTGTGAGGTGATGTCATTCACAGCTACAGTACTACGGTATGCATACTCACGGCTGCATAGCCAGCGTCCTGGGGCCGCTTGACCTCCCACTGGATTTCCATGTTCACGACAGTATTTCTCATTTCAATTATACAACCTATTGAGTTCGACCATGCATTAGCCAATCAAGAGTACATAACCCCCCAGAGTGTGCAACTCCACTATGGGTGCTGTCCCGACAGAATTTCAAGTTGACGTCATTTTGATGATGCAATGCGCACTGTACACGGATTATCAGACGAATCCGGAACCTGTGTTTGACCTAAGCCGATCGATCCTGTACAAATTATTGCAAAGAAAAACGTGTGATGCGTTGACACCCGTACACATGTTGTAAATCACTGGTGCAAGGAGCATTGCGTCATAAATAATGACGTCAACTTGAAATTCTGTCGGGACAGCAGGGTATGTGGGAGTTGCACACTCTGGGGGGGGGGGGGGGGGGGGGGTATGTACTCTTGGCAATACTAGGGCTGAAAGGGATATGCCGAACATTCGAATATTCAAAAATGTGGGCACAAGTTATGCGATCGAGTCCACCAACTAAACCAGATTTTGAACAGTCAGACGTGCACAATCTAGCACAAAACATAACTTGTGCGCACATTTGCTACGTTACAATTTGAAGTGACGAATATTCGAACCGAACAACAATATGTTCACGCGTGGAAACGTTGACGGGAAAAAGGAACATTCGTTCATTAGCGTCAAGAATATTCGAATACTGAGAAATTGTGTTCATTTCAGCCCTAGCCAAAACCAGCGGTGGCGATGGCAGCAACAGCAGCAGCAGCAGCAGCAGCAGCAAACTTGCAGGTAGAGCAACTGTAGCACTGCATTGGCACACACTGGCACCCACTCACCCAGTCCACTTGAATACATTGGAGATATTCTTAGTGAAGACACTGCTGGTCAGGCCCTGATCCACACTGTTGTTCATTGCTATGCCCTGCTCCAAACTCTAATTGCATCAACACAGCCCCCATACACATTTATACACACACATACACATACACACACACACACACACACACACACACACACACACACCACACACACACACACACACACACACATGGCTTCAGAATGACATGGATATTAGTGGGGTGAGGTGTGTCGTTATAATCACACTAATCCTGGTCCACTAGTGTCTTGCATGCTCTGCAACAGTGCTAGATGTACTTGGAACTACAACCAGACCGGTACACATATAATCAGACGGCTCTTGCACCCAGCATGCCCGTTTGTCAAAAGGAATTGAATTAGCTGCTATTGTAACTGGTGAACTGATGGCCTCACTAATCAGTGCATGCATCCAATGGGGCAACAGCAACAACTGCATCCGCACCTCCACCATGCCCCCCCCCCCCCCCCCCCCAACACGCACAGACACAGGCACACCCAAACAGCTGCTTGGACTCGTTGGCTATCAGCCAAATCATGATACTATCATTCTAGCTATATTATAACTAGAATGTATGGTACGGTATGGCGGCTGAATGCACAGTATGGTGGCTGACTGTATGGCGTACCGTATTTTCCAGGGTACAAGCCACACTTTAAACACTTGTATTCCACCCCTACTAAAAAGTCAGGGTAGCTTATGCTACGATGGTCAAATGAATGGCGATATACAGGGTGGATGACTAGATGTCTGTATTTCGTGACAAAAGTCTGGGTGCAGCTTATAATCCAGTCCGGCTTAAACTGCGGACAATACGGTACTCACATCACACTTGAATATGTATAATATCGGTGCGAATGTCTCCGTGCGAACAATCGGAGCGTCGGCGGGTAGTCCGCTGATGATGGTCGGCCGTACATAGTATCCATCACAATCTAACACCTGCAGGCACACGCACACACACACACACACACACACACACACACACACACACACACACACACACACACACACACGTGCACACACACACACACAGTTTGCAGGAGTAGAAATATTACCACTCAATCTGGCCTTTCCCCATCAAAAATGTATGTGACTCGGAGTTACAGACATTTCAAAGTTACGGGCAGTACCCGGTCCCGCACCGAACGGATAAAAAAAAGGTATGAGTGTACATTCAAAGCACAAAAAAGCAGCCATCTGACTGTAACGGACCGTCACCATTGGAACTTGAACCAGCATATCCCTCCCGCTAAAACGTCCCTCCTCCGGGGGACGGCTGCACCATAGCTTGGTGGTTAGAGTGTGTCGCTGGCCTATAGCGAGACCAGTGACACACTCTAACACCAAGGGATGTAGCTCACACATGTGTGGTGTGGTGACTATGTGCCAGAGCACATCTGTAATGTGGTGACCATGTACTACCGGCAAACCTCATAGTCGCCATTTTGCCTATTTTGACTAGGCAGTAGATCTACCTATGACGGCCATCTGCTGGTGTAGTGAGCAGACTACGCTGATTATACACGAGTTACGCTGCGCCTACACACTGAGCTACGGTGCAGCCGTCATCCCAGTTCAACATTTTCTGCAGACTTCGAGACTCGCAATTCCTGTGACACAAACACAGGCCGGTGGGACGCAGCCCTCACTGTACCCACATACACTAGTACTGCTCCTCTTTGCAAAACTACGGTGCTGTCAGCAGCAGTAGGAGAGAAAGTCAGGGGTGTGACATGCACTGTTTCGACTTGAGTTCTTTTCAAGCAAACTGCTCAAACAGCTTACCTCGCCACCGTACTCAATTTTACCACCCTGCAAGAAACAACACAGCAAAGCAAACAACAACAACAAGCAGGGGATAAGAACAAGAAGAAGAATAGCTATATCAGTTGAAGCCAAAGCAGCAGCAGCGGCAGCAGCAGAAGCAGCAACAACAGCAGCAGTAGCAGCAACAACAGCAGCAGCGGTAGCAGCAATGGCAGCAGCAGCAGTAGCAGCAACAGCAGTAGCAGCAACAACGGCAGCAGCAGTAGCAGCAATGGTAGCAGCAGTAGCAGCAGTAGCAGCAATGGTAGCAGTAGCAATGGCAGCAGCAATATTGATGCAATGACGAGAAGAAGAAAAGGACTAACAGAAGTTGTCATCACCTCAAATTGGCACAAAGTCCACAAATGTCAAAGTGCCAACTATTACTTCCAATCAATCAGTTCAATATTTCCGCATCTGAAACCACGGACATTGCTGGATGCACAAGGCATAGAGTACTGTGTGTGTGTGTGTGTGTGTGTGTGTGTGTGTGTGTGTGCATGTGTGTGTGGGCGTGCATGTGTGTGCATGTGTGTGTGGGCGTGCATGTGTGTGTGTGTGTGTGCATGCGTGCGTGCGCGTGTGTGTGCGCATGTTCACTATCATACCTGAGCAACAGCAGCCTCGATTGCTTTCTTGTAGTTGTCAACTGCTTGCTTGTTATGGAGTGGTCCAAGTAGCGTCTTCTCTGTTTGACAGCGACAAAAACACGAGAGCAGACAGCAGAAGCCATGGTATATATGCGCACATGTATTTACACAAACATAATCATACTAACTACTGTAAAACCGGAAATTTTTGGTGTAATATTTTCGGTATTTCCCAAAATCAACGACTTGGTAGCGCGAAAATTTCGGTAAACCAGTTTTCCAGATCCAAACTGTGTGGCTTGGCATGGTTGAATTTTAAATCGAGTTTTCCTTTAGGTAAAAATTACCTGTACTGAAGTTAGTACTCAGATGGTGAGCCAAGGAAAATATTAACCCTTTATGTACTAAAAAAATGTACGCAGACTGAATTTGATCTCGACTCGCCTCAAATTCCATAATTCTCCGGGTCATAACTTTGGTCTCCTTTTGACGATTTTTTCAATCTTGAGCTTCCTGGAAAGCTCGTCGCAAGAGGAACACATTGAGCCCACACGTGCCACCACAAAGGTCAAAACTCCAGCGCTACAGCCCAGCGTCTTAGTTGCAATGCCAATATTCCGACAGAAGTCGTCTTGTATCAGCCATTTCGCTCTCCTTGCTTGTAACAACTAATTTTTACTTCCAAAAAAATTTCACAATCTGCCACGAGTCCGTTTGCCATTTTGAATGTGTTTCTACGTCACTGGATGCCCAGAAAGATGGGAAAATCCCTTATTCAAATCTGCGCACGCGGCTATTGAGCGACAATTGCCGCGATTTGACTTTCGAGCTTCGTAACTCTGGAACCGCACATCGGAGTGTTTCTGCGATTGTTTCAATGGACAGCTGGGAGTTTTCTCTTCGACCTACATAATTTAGGTTTTGGAAATAACCCAGAAATGACTGAGTTACGATCGATTAAACATTTGAAAAGTTTCGATCCCAGGGGATCGAAAGTTGTACAGTCCGTACACAAAGGGTTAAATTGAAACAAGGAAAACGGCAGGGCACAAGTTACGCGTTAGAGTCCACCAACTAAACCAGGTTTTGAACAGTCAGACAGTCAGTTGAGCATTGCTCAAGCTCACTTCCTTGCCGTGGAATGTCTCAGTACTCCTTGTCAGTCTGGTGCTACCTTGCGCACGTCTGACTGTTCAAAACCTGGTTTAGTTGGTGGACTCTAACGCATAACTTATGCCCCGCCGCTTTCCTTGTACTGAAGTTACCGAAAATAAATCTCCGTCGAAATTTTCGGGTGTTACAGTACATTGTACCACAAACACCCCAAACACAACACCCCCAACCCCCCCCCCCCCCCCCCCCCCACACACACACACACAGAAACACACACAGCAACACAGCAACACAAACACCCCCAACACAACACACCCAACACCACCCCACCCCCACACACACAGCAACACACACACACACAACAGTTACAAAGAGCACGATACCAGAACCAGCAGCAGCAACACAGTAACATACTGTCTAATGGACTGCCGATGGTAGCTTGACTGTACGCATTTGCCAGTGTCGACAATACTCGATCATAAACCTGGGAATGTACAATCTATAGTATACACACGCACACAAACACACGCATACACGCACACAAACACACGCATACACGCACACAAACACACGCACACAAGCACACAAACACACGCATACACGCACACAAACACACGCATACATGCACACAAACACACGCATACACACACACAACAACATAATAACCGATGAAACACGTGTCTAAAAAGGTGACCAAAACTGTTCATGCCCGAGAGGAAGGTTTCGTCCTATAAATCCAGTTCGCCTCGATAGGGTATCAAGATGGGATGTGGGGCACGAATGAGGAACCCCTGGACCATCCTGAATCGCCAAGAAATAGAAATGTTTTAATTCCAGAGTGCCCTCTCAACAGAGGACACACGTACCCACACACACACACGCACAACGACGACTAACCAGCCGGCGTGTGGTCGTACAACGTTGTCCGGCGGTTCCCACAGCAGCAAAGAAAGTAGCTGGAATAACCATCTCCAGATCGGCATCATCCATTACTGTGTTCACAAGGACAATAGATACAGAAAAGTCATAGAACACGTAATGCCATGTAATCCCTGCATGCTACCACAGTACACTATAATACCGTAATACACACTATAACACAGTACCTACATAAGCCCATTGCGCAATGACGTAATTTGTACCGCAAACACCCCACACAGCCACCTGGGTATGGTCGTCTGGGGGTGTTGAACAGTGCATTGCTGATCCCAGCGTACTCACATGCATTACTCATACATTCATGTCTTCATGTCTACATGGCATAGAGAAAAGGGCCTCCTCACACACACAAAGTAGCTGAACGTACCAATGATAGCATTGTTACCTCCCAGCTCTAGCAGGCTCTTCCCTGTGGAGCAGAAAACAACAGCAACAACAGCAGCAGCAGCAGCCGCAACAAAGCAGCAGCAACAAAAGCAGCATTATCATCAATAGCTGCACTGAAAACAGCATCAACAATTACATGGCCACCACAGCAGCACTAATTCAGCTCCTGAGATGGTAAAAAAACCGGGAGATACATCTTAAGAGAAAACACACACAACAGAGGGGCAGAAGGCCACTAGAAATCGCTACTCATTTCTCTCTTCAATTCTAATCATCAGTACCAGATTATCTATCAAAATAGCAGATACAGTCAACTCCACTTATAACAAACTCGAATATAGCAAAGTTCTTGATGTAGCAAACCATTGTCCATGTCCCAGTTTGAACCTACAGTGTAAATGAATTTCTGTTATAACAAACTTTGGTTATAACAAACTTTGGCTATAAAGAACTAATTATCCTGCACAATGGTGTTGGTTACATCAGGAGTCGACTGTACATGCCAGGGATTTGTATCGGATCATCCAATCACTGAGAAAAGCCTACACAACGATGGGAATACCCCCCCCCCCCCCCCTCTCTACAATTAGGGCATGCACTAAGGTGTAGAGCGACACTTAGGTGTAAGAGACGCAACAGCAGCAGCAGTTGCCATAGAGGAAATGACATCAGCAACAGCACATGATTGGCTGCACCAGAAGCAGCTGTGGTAGCTGTGGAGGCAGTGGTAGCAGCAGCAGTAGAAGTATAGGCAGCAGCAGTAGTACAGGCGCGTACACAGGGGGGGGGAGGGGGGGGGGGGGGGGGCTCCACAGGGTTCGGACGAACCCCCCTTTCTGAACGATTTTTTGGGTTTTCCGTCTTTTGTTGCGCTGCGCGTGGGCGTCGCGCCGTACTGTCAACGAGTCGTCAAGTCGCAGATTCTACCACTACTTGACGTCATCATGCACTGCGCATGCGCTGAAACACGCGACGCGCGCGAGAGTTGGTTGACGTGAGGTACTGTAAAAGCCATATATATAACGAAGTGCTAACTCTAACGAGTTAACGAGGAGAAATCTGTCGTTAAAATAGAAATCGTTATACAGAAATCGATACATATACTGTCCTATTGAGCGTTGAGGATGAGTGAGAATCGTTACCTTTGGTACACGTAAACTAGTCAATTTTGGGAAATCGTTATAATGCGCCCCGTTAGAATAATGGCTTTTACAGTAGCTATTTACAACAACGGACTCCATGTAACTCCCCTCCCGCAGACCCCGCGTACGTGCCTGTAGCAGCATAGACAGCAACAATACAACTGAAAGCAAACCCTACCAAAACGGCTTTGCACTGCAACGGCAGCATGACGACCAGCCTGGGCACAAACAAAACCACATGCACAGACAGACAGACACACACACACACACAGACACACATACACACGAGTTGGTTCCAGTGGCATCCGCCTCACATTACTTGGGCATGTAGCACAACACACAAAACAGTGAAAACACTCTCTGCAGAAATGACTTCCATCTCAGCACGGAGTGTAGGAACTTACTTCGGTACTTCCTGTGAAGGAGACAAGGTTGACGTTAGGATCAGCACACATAGCCTTTCTGAAAACACACACACACACATACATAAATACGCACGCACGCGCACACAAACACACACACACACACACACACACACACACACACACACACACACACACAAACACACACAGAAAATAAGTCCGCAGAAACAAAAGCCAAAGGCTAGACCGATGGCAATTTTCCGACATACGCATACAGCGATGGTAGTCTCCACTCTCAGGATCCAGCTGATGAGAAAGATTAAGCTGTACATGTACTTGAGCAGTGACTATTGGCAGACGTGTGACATTGATAGTGCTGTCGCGTGTCACGTGTTTGTCTCATTGAGCATTTCTCTTTCTTTTTTTTTGCTGAAGAACAAAGAGGCTAGAATTTCACCCAGCACAGCTTGCTGATCTCGATCTTGACACGGTGACTCAACTGTGCATTGACTATAGTGCATGTACATGAAAAATAAGAACGGTCTAGGTCACGAGCCCCCTTCCCTCAGTTCTCCGGCACCCGACTATGGCGTACGGTAGGACGGAACGGTGCACCTCCATTCACATGGACAAGCTGTCAAGTACACATTAGCTGACTTTAGGAAGAGGTCACAAGCACGTGCACAGGCTGGACTGGCTCAGGAATGAGTTACAAGGTACTGATGTACTGATGGGACCAACCGCGCCCTCCACACGATGCACACGTGGAGGCACACGCGCACGCACACACACACACACACCTCAGACCTCAGACATGCCCATCGCGGGAGCGATGATAGCGAACAGCTATGTTAGACATAGCAACTTGTGCTGGGATTACACCATTCAACAGCTTGCAAGGCTGATGAATTGACCGCCACTATTTGTAGCCTGGTATCCACCACACACACACACACACACACACACTTACCCAACATCAAGGCCACCTTGAGCAAGACTGCATACGCTTGTGGGCATTTTATTCTTCTTCAGAACTGACTCCACAATCCTAATTCACACACACACACAGGCATAACAGCACAGACCATGCTCGATTTTACAAATCCCTCATTTATCCAGTGTTTACTGCATAATGATACACATGTACACACACACACACGCATACACCCCATCCTCCCCCCCCCCCCCTTTCCTATGCACATACACACGAACATCTCTTATCCAGGACCGGGCACTGCCCGTATCTCAGATTTGCCTGTAGCTCAGAACAGCTCATCTATTATAATCATATCAGTTTTTGGTGAAGTTGATTTGGCACATATTTCACATGCTCAGGATAACAAAGAATCCATTGATGAATATGGGTGGATTACACAGATTGGCAGTGATAACATTTAATAAGCACTGGCGCATACGAAAAAACTCAAAAACCCCAAATCGAAGCACTTATGCCGGCCATAGGAACTCAAGCTGAAGGTACTCACTTGGTTACAGCAACACTGGTAAGAGGTGTAGACGGTGCTCCCTTCCACACATTCACATTGCCACAGACCATGCTGAGTGCTGTGTTCCAGCCGTATACAGCCACGGGGAAGTTGAATGCCGTGATGATGCCAACTGTTCCCACCGGATTCCACTGCTCCAGCAAGGCATGGTCCTCACCTGGTGTGCACACGGGGCACATGTTAGGACGTACAGACGGAAAATAACACGCACACACACGTACATGGACACACACGTACACACAAACATACTCGTTGCTGTCAGCGGAAGTGTCCTTGCTGTGCTGGTGTGTTTATGCTTCGTGCATTGGTTCGGCTAAGAGTGCACGGTGGTGACGGGTTGAGGACGTAGTAAAGTGGAAAAAATAATATATTTAAAAAAAAGCAATTCGTAGGACGAGTTGCGTATTGAACACACACACACACACACACACACACACACACACACACACACACACACGCACACACACCATTGGCTATGATTTACGGAAAAAGTACTTACGTTCTGATGGCAATACCTTGCCAGCAAACATGCGAGAGAGTCCGACGGCATAATCACAGATGTCCACGTATTCCTGCACCTCACCAGCACCCTCCACTAGGATTTTTCCCATCTCCATTGACACCTGGACAATAGAGAAGGTGTGCGTGTTTGTGCGCGTGCGTGTGTATGCACGTGTGTGTATGTGTGTGTGTGTGTGTGTGCGTGAGTGTGTGTGCGTGTGTGTGTGTGTAATAAAACAAGTACACATGTTGTTTGTGTGGTAAGTGAGGCAGGAATTGGAAAGTCTTATTGATTATGCATCATGCATAAAGGCCGATTCACAATACAACTTCTTGCAACGCGACATGCAACTTGCGACACCTGCGACGAGCTGCGACAGCGACACACGGTTCACAATCTTTTTCATGTTTGCGACATCCCTATGCACTAGTAGTACTATGCACGTGCACTGCACGTGCACCCAGGGTAGAAACTGTACTCCGTTTGTGCTTGTCGCGTGTCGCATGTGACGATGTCGCAAAAGTAGAACTTTCTTCAACTTCTGCGACAGGTGCCTTTGTGACAGCTTGCGACAGGCAGTTTCTTGTCGCAATTGTCGCAAATCGCGTCGCAGAAAGTTGTATTGTGAATTGGCCTTTACTGCTTTAGGCGGGTACTGTATACTGTATATCTGGCTCTGATAGAGACAGTTGTCTAAGATCCACAGGCTGGGCATAGTGCTCTATGTCCAGTGGACACAGCCAGTACGTGCTGTCAGATCAGATGAGTGCTTTTTTAACACTCCGAGCAGCGGTAGAAAAAAGGACTTGGTTGTGTCATTGCTGTTCGAGTATTGCATGACTCAGATAGAGACATAGAGCTGGAGAAATTCCTCCGTTGCCATCTCGACAGACCTGGCCTTCCACACAATACATACATACTGTACAATTCCATTGACAGGCAGAAGAATCTACAAGAATATGTACACGGCAACCTATCAGGCTCCACGTGTGTTGTGTGAAGTCAGGGTGGCATGCACAGTTGCATCGTGACCTACTCTAGTCTAAACCGTCTATGTACTCTTCAAGTGCACATTATGCTGGAAATGTACCATTCAAAATGCTTCAATACGCTTAGAGGGTAGAAACACACACATCGAGTCCAGATACACATGGTCATATGCACGTACACACACATACATGGACACACACACGGACACACACATACATATGTGTACAGACATACAGATGTCCACACATACCAGTCGTCCCAGAGGCTTCTTGTATTTGCGCATAGCATCTCCAATTTGGCGGACAACCTCACCACGCTTAGGAGCTGGTACCTAGGTTGGAAATAGTAGAGCAGCAAATGAACAAACACGCACACAAAATAATATACGAGCACAAGCACGCACGCACGCGCACACACACACAAAAGACACACAATGAAGCTATAGGAGACACCCATAGACAAAGACTGTCTCCACGGGGAACCCACCAACAATCGAATGAAAGTGAGCATCTTGCAAGAACGGAAACCAAAGAATGGCAAAGATGCAAGAAGAACTGTGAAGGATAACAATACGGGAGTTGAGTATGGCCAGGTCGAGCTACTAGTACCAGTAGTTGAGAGGTACACGGGCGCTCACCTAGCAAGCATTCTGAAAAGACGTGAACTTGCTCGGTACGGATATTGTCTGGGGGCATGGGTGTGGTACTCTATACTGAGGTACAGTACTGGCGGGCGCTGAAGAGCTGGGGGTCAGGGTTCTAGCCTAGCCCGTTCTTACTTTTAGCAAACACAGCAGTTTCGTTCGATGGTACAGTCTTACATGTACATTTATGCAGAGTTATACGTCTGAGTGTACATTATGGTGTATACTACGGTCTCCGTTCTCATCTGCGAAAATTCCAGCCTAGACCGTTCTTAAAAATTGGTGAAATTCTAGCCTGGCCGTTCTTCGGCGCCTGACAGTACTGTATGTGCAGATAAGAAGAACACTTTCCGTTTCCCCGTGGGGGGGGGGGGGGGGGGGGGTACGTCTAATCACAGCTCCACTGTACAATTGTACATGGTACGTTCAGGCCACATACCATGATCAGGCTGCATACAGTGCTGATCAATGAAATCCAGTCGCGTCACTTGAGTACGCGCCGGGCGCTGCGCAGCCCTAGACCTGCGAACACTGGGCTGCGACATGGTGCAAAGCACAAACTTGAGTGACGTGACTGGATGTCAATGAGCAGCTCTGTACTTTGATCTGGCCACATACACTATCAGGTCACATACACTATCAGGTCACATACACTATCAGGTCACATACACTATCAGGTCACATACACTATCAGGTCACATACACTATCAGGTCACGTACAATATCAGGTCACGTACAATATCAGGTCACGTACAATATCAGGTCACATACACTATCAGGTCACGTACAATATCAGGTCACGTACAATATCAGGTCACGTACAATATCAGGTCACGTACACTATCAGGTCACATACACTATCAGGTCACATACACTATCAGGTCACATACACTATCAGGTCACATACACTATCAGGTCACGTACAATATCAGGCCACATCTCTGATAAGACGTACCCCAATGAGCAGCAGGAAAGTGTACATATGTACTTACTTCAGAGTAGTAGTAGTATCCAAAGTACTTCTTATTACAACATACTTTAGCATGGATGAAAACACCCGTGCTCTGGACAGTACAGCGGATATTGGATATAACGACCTTGCACATAACGACAGATTGAGTTTAGCGACACAATTCTGTTGCCCAAGTCGTTTAGTAAGTCCTTTGTGAAGATCGGGTTTAGTGACGGATCGAATATAGTGACATTTTGTTCTCTCCCGAAGGAGTGTCGTTATATATAAACTTATATCCAATCTCCAATGTATTCGTCAACAGTACAGTGCACTGTACACTCGGAATCGTTTGCTCCCATTCGAGTTCGCGGATTGCGATGACAGACCACGTTGCGCCTGCAAACGTTTGCGATTGGAGTCAATTTGATGATTGACTCGAGTCTACAGTTTCGCGCTTCGCGCCCACTTACTTTTGCGAGTTCACACCCTTCGCGAAAATCGTGAACGTTTCTGGGTTTACACTTTACAGTATGTTTTATGAGAGAACATACTGAGTGAGTTCCTGTATTGCCCATTGACATCACATACTGAGTGAGTTCCTGTATTGCCCATTGACATCACATACTGAGTGAGTTCCTGTATTGCCCACTGGCATCACATACTGAGTGAGTTCCTGTATTGCCCACTGGCATCACATACTGAGTGAGTTCCTGTATTGCCCATTGACATCACATACTGAGTGAGTTCCTGTATTGCCCATTGACATCACATACTGAGTGAGTTCCTGTATTGCCCACTGGCATCACATACTGAGTGAGTTCCTGTATTGCCCACTGGCATCACATACTGAGTGAGTTCCTGTATTGCCCACTGGCATCACATACTGAGTGAGTTCCTGTATTGCCCACTGACATCACATACTGAGTGAGTTCCTGTATTGCCCACTGACATCACATACTGAGTGAGTTCCTGTATTGCCCACTGACATCACATACTGAGTGAGTTCCTGTATTGCCCACTGGCATCACATACTGAGTGAGTTCCTGTATTGCCCACTGACATCACATACTGAGTGAGTTCCTGTATTGCCCACTGGCATCACATACTGAGTGAGTTCCTGTATTGCCCACTGACATCACATACTGAGTGAGTTCCTGTATTGCCCACTGACATCACATACTGAGTGAGTTCCTGTATTGCCCACTGACATCACATACTGAGTGAGTTCCTGTATTGCCCACTGACATCACATACTGAGTGAGTTCCTGTATTGCCCATTGGCATCACATACTGAGTGAGTTCCTGTATTGCCCACTGACATCACATACTGAGTGAGTTCCTGTATTGCCCACTGACATCACATACTGAGTGAGTTCCTGTATTGCCCACTGACATCACATACTGAGTGAGTTCCTGTATTGCCCACTGGCATCACATACTGAGTGAGTTCCTGTATTGCCCACTGACATCACATACTGAGTGAGTTCCTGTATTGCCCACTGCCATCACATACTGAGTGAGTTCCTGTATTGCCCACTGGCATCACATACTGAGTGAGTTCCTGTATTGCCCACTGACATCACATACTGAGTGAGTTCCTGTATTGCCCACTGACATCACATACTGAGTGAGTTCCTGTATTGCCCACTGACATCACATACTGAGTGAGTTCCTGTATTGCCCACTGACATCACATACTGAGTGAGTTCCTGTATTGCCCACTGGCATCACATACTGAGTGAGTTCCTGTATTGCCCACTGGCATCACATACTGAGTGAGTTCCTGTATTGCCCACTGGCATCACATACTGAGTGAGTTCCTGTATTGCCCACTGGCATCACATACTGAGTGAGTTCCTGTATTGCCCACTGACATCACATACTGAGTGAGTTCCTGTATTGCCCATTGGCATCACATACTGAGTGAGTTCCTGTATTGCCCACTGACATCACATACTGAGTGAGTTCCTGTATTGCCCACTGGCATCACATACTGAGTGAGTTCCTGTATTGCCCACTGACATCACATACTGAGTGAGTTCCTGTATTGCCCACTGACATCACATACTGAGTGAGTTCCTGTATTGCCCCACTGACATCACATACTGAGTGAGTTCCTGTATTGCCCACTGACATCACATACTGAGTGAGTTCCTGTATTGCCCACTGGCATCACATACTGAGTGAGTTCCTGTATTGCCCACTGGCATCACATACTGAGTGAGTTCCTGTATTGCCCACTGGCATCACATACTGAGTGAGTTCCTGTATTGCCCACTGGCATCACATACTGAGTGAGTTCCTGTATTGCCCACTGGCATCACATACTGAGTGAGTTCCTGTATTGCCCACTGGCATCACATACTGAGTGAGTTCCTGTATTGCCCACTGGCATCACATACTGAGTGAGTTCCTGTATTGCCCACTGACATCACATACTGAGTGAGTTCCTGTATTGCCCACTGACATCACATACTGAGTGAGTTCCTGTATTGCCCACTGACATCACATACTGAGTGAGTTCCTGTATTGCCCACTGACATCACATACTGAGTGAGTTCCTGTATTGCCCACTGGCATCACATACTGAGTGAGTTCCTGTATTGCCCACTGGCATCACATACTGAGTGAGTTCCTGTATTGCCCACTGGCATCACATACTGAGTGAGTTCCTGTATTGCCCACTGACATCACATACTGAGTGAGTTCCTGTATTGCCTGTTTCAGTCAACTCGTCACTCAGTTCACACCAGCCAACACGGTTCAATCCAACAATGGGATTAATCAATACATGCAATAAGAATAAATACAAGGAAAACGGTTCGGGATAATAAATTAGGACACTCAGGATCTGGCCGCCATTCTCGGGCTCTCTCTCTTGATCTCCTCGACCTTGCGCCAGGATCCGTCAATATCTAGATCTACAATCACTACAACAAGTATCACGTGAGACCTACGTCACTGGTAGACTGCATGGTACTACCCAGCGCTAGGGATAGGGCATGCCAAGTATGTGGCGAATGCGTACAGAAGGAACACAGTGCAGGTAGGTCTAGGATGCTTCTAAGTTCTAGCATACTAGTATCAGCAGATTACTGAAAGCGCATCACTGACAGAGACAAAACATACATTACAACCAGAGTCATGCAACTATCAGCCATAGTTCAGTGGGACTACCACATTTCCCCCCTTTTCAGAAAAAAAGACCAGCGGTCTACCGATAGCGACTTGGCGTTTGAGTCTTACGCTGCGGACGACTAGAAGCTGGTTGAACCGTACTAGGGTTTGCGGTGACGATGGCAGATGGCTGAGCACCGCATTCGTGCAGTTCCTCGTGTACCTCGTCATCATCGTCGTCTGTAGCCACATTATCGCCTGGCCGAAGCTGTACGGGCGGGGTGTGATAACCTCCTCGCAGCAGTAGATCACCCGGACGTTTGCCGGTAGTCGTGTTGACGGCTGACCGAACTGCTCGAAGTGCCAAACGAAGTGCGTCTTCTGTTCGTGTCTCGCCAGATTGTCGCATGTGTTGCTTCAATGTCCGGTGGAGCCGCTCAAGTGGATGCTGCTGCGGCGTGTTGGGGACAGTGCACTCGTGACTGATTCCCCATGACTCGAGCTGTTTGCGGAATTCGTCGCTGCAGAACGGTGAACGGTTGTCGGCTATTAGGTGTCGTGGCATGCCAAACAGAGTGAATATTTGGTCCAGTGCCCCGATGAGGTCACTTGTCTTCTC